CCCGAAGTTCTGCCCCGGGGGACTGTCTGGCTCGGTGCTGCTCGAGGAGAACTTGCCTTTGTGTTTGAGGATGCCTTTCCTGCGGGCAGGGAGACCCTGTGGGTGCTGCTCGGGGCTGGAGGTGTCAGCAAACACGTTCCCATCCAGGTCCAAACTCCCTGAGTCCAGCACATCCCCGGATTCGCAGCACTCCAGGGATGAGTAATATCCTGACTCCCTCGTCGGGGGTTTTTTCAGTATTCCCTTCTTGGGCACGGCCATGGGCACTGCTCCAACCCCTGTGCTGCCAGGCAGCATCCCAGAGGACAAGATCCTGGTGAGACCTGCAGCGATCACCTCCCCATCCTCACCCCTCCCCTCTCCCACAGGTGCTGCTGGGGGAGGCCCAGGGCTGGGCACCTTCTGCTCACAGGAGTTTCTCTTCTTCAAGATGCCCTTGGGCCTCTTGAGGATGGACTTGGAGGGATTCTCTGGGACCACAGCCACCTCCTGCAGCACGTGGGAGACATCATTCTCCTTCTTGGACTTCTTGAGGGAACGCTGGCGCTCCAGGGCCGCTCCAGGGATGTGCTGCTTCAGGAAGCATCTCACCTTGGAACTGTTCTCCAGGAGGGGTCGGGAGGAGCGGCGAAGCCACTCAGCCACCGTGGACAGGGGGGACTCACTCTCCTGCAGCAGCTCTTGCTCCCCAAGAGGCACTTTGTAGCCCCAGTTCACCCACCAGTGCGTGGCAATGTCCTCGATGGTGGCACGGCGCTCCGGGTTCACCATCAGCATCCAGCGGATCAGCCCACAGGCATCTGGGGAACAGGCAGGTCAGGCACTCAAGGCAACACAGGCAAGGGACACACACAGGGGACACACAGGGTGGTGGGGCCTGCCTACCTGACAGCTTTGTGGGCTCCCTGTAGTCCCCACTTGTGATCTGCTTGACCAGAGTCTTGTAGTCGTGGCCATCGAACGGCATCGTGCCGTGGACCAGCACGTAGAGGAGAACGCCCAGGGACCAGCTATCCACCTGCCAGAGGGACAGAGGAGCCTGAAGGGAGGCAGCAGGACTGGGCTGCCCTGGCCCTCACCCCATCTGGGCAGGATTTCTTGCCAGAGCCTCAGCAGGACCTTCCAGGATGGCAATAGCTCCATCCGTCTGCATCCCACCACATCCACCCTGCCACACCAAGCACACCCTGCCCAGGCTCAGGGGACCAGTTATCCCAAACCACACTGGGAAAATACCCCAAGTGAGCTCCCACACCCAGGGGTGAGGCACAACCTACCTCTGGGCCCTTGTAGGGTCTGCCATTGATGATCTCAGGGGATGCATACAAAGGGCTGCCACAGTAAGTCTGCAGGAGTTTGTCCTGCTGGTAAACGTTGGACAGCCCAAAATCTGCAATCTGGAGAGACATTTACAGCTGTTAGCCAGCAGCAAAGTTTCTTTTCCACAAGTGGAGCAGTTTGGCCACCTGAAGCTCTCCAGCTGTGAGCTTGACCCAAACCCATGGCAAGCTGCTCTTGCCATGCTCTTCCTCCTCCCCAAAAAATCTCATCCCAGCCACTGCAGCAGCTTCCCTGCAGCTCTGCCCCATCACCAGCACAGGGAGCAGAGGCAGCTGGAAAGGTGAGGTGAGAGGGAGAGCTGCAGGGCTCACTCCCCAGGCTGCCTCAGCCACTATCAGCTCCACTTTGCACACAGCATTCATTATCCTCATTACACCTGTCACCTCCCTCTGACCAGGAGGTTCAGTGGCTGCATGAAGCTCCCAATTATCCCTTAGAGGGAGAAACCTCACAGCTGTTATCACCAACCACATGGACTCCAGGCTGGGGCTGTGCCTTTCCTGCCTGGCAGCGGCAGCAAAAAGCATCACTCAGGGCAACTGTGGTGCCAGGAACTGCCCTGCACCCTCTGCCTCCTGCCAGCACATATGGCAACTGGGAATTTCACTGGAAGAGCCCTTCTCATCCAGCTGGTGGTAAATTGGCTCAGACTTTGCTCCCTTATCTCCTGGCAGATAGCAGTTATGGCTTTACCAGGCAGCACTGAGGCTGTGCCACTCTGTCCCACTTGGCTGCCAGGCCCCAACAGCAGGAGCAGGTCCCTCCTGAACCCTCATCTCCTGGGCTAACAGCAGTGCAGGTGGTGTCAGTGGTCCCAGAGCTCTGGGAAGCACATTCCCTGGGGGACTAGAGTGTTGTGGCCACCCCCAATCCACACTGGGCAGCTCCTCTTGGACCTCTCTACTGTGTCACCCCCCAAAATATGACCAAGATTTGCCCACCTTGATGTTCCCATTGGCATCGAGCAGGATGTTCTCCAGCTTCAGGTCCCTGTGCACAATCCCATTCTGTGGGAGGGGAGGCAGAGCAGGGTTAGCTCACAGGGTGTTTGAGGAAGGGACAGGGAGGTCACTGCCGTTCACTGGCACATGCAAACAGGGCAGAGGAGCAGCAAACAGCTCTGGGTGTGTTGCTGAGGTCAGCTCTAAACCAGGAGCAGGGCAGTCCCTGGCAGCAGGTGCCACCCTGGGCTCCTCCACCCTCCCCAGCCATGAGAGCACTTGGTGCCTACTCCACCAGGGTATGGTGGGCACAGCTCTGTTCTTTGCTAGGACCTCCTGCTGCCCAGCTAAGTGAGACCCCAATTTGCTTTGGGTGCAGGAGGTGCCCTGTAACTCCCTGTTCCTGCCAAGGACTGAGGCACATCCAGGCACAGCCTCCAGGGAGACCCTCAGGCTCAAGGGTGGGCACAGCTTATCCCACAGCCCCAGAGAGGGTCTAGAGCTTTGCATCCCCTTCAGGAACAAGA